TTAATATACTTAAAACTCTCTTAATTCTTTTTAATCAATCAATCGCTACATGAGCCTATGCTCCCTGATTTAGAACTATCTAGAATTGCAGTTGCCATGCTAAGCTAGTATCAGCTTGGCATTGCAACATCCAATCTAAACAGCTCTAAACCAGGGGTGGGATTCAATTTTTTAACAACCAGTTCTGTGGGCATGGCTTAGGTGGTAGGCGTGGCTTGGTGGTCATGTGACTGGGTGGACATGGCTTGGTGGTCATGTTATATCAACTCAATATCACTCACATTGAGGCACGCTTCTCCTCGCCTGGCCTCTCATGACTGTGGGGATGCTGCAACAGTTGTAGGTGTGAAAAATGGTCATGTCACTTTTTTCAGTGCCATTGTAACTTTGAATGGTCACTCCACACAAGCAAAGTACCAGCAAAGGAGGAGAAAAAACACTCCAGAGATCTTCCTGAGACAGGAAGTCTAGTCCTGCCAAGAATGTAATAAGGGTTAACGGAGAGGCAGTTTCTGTAAGCAACACCAGAATGTTTCCTTCCTGCCTTCCTTACAGGATTAGGCCAGTAATTTCTTCTAACAACCAATTCTCCAAACTGCTTAGAATGTTAACAACCGGTTCTAGCGAATAGGTGCGAACTTGTAGAATCCCACCCCTGCTCTAAACCTAAGGCAGGAAAGCTACTTATTCCATCATCTTCGCACTGAACTACAGGTCTTCCTTGGCAATGATGGAGTTTTAGATACACAATTTTAGCAGAAGAAACAGAAAGTAACAGAAATTGTTGGAAATTCAGTAAATGACTTCTCAAGAAAGCAGTACCACAGTCTCGGTCCCAAGTATCAAGAAACTTTTTTTATTGACTTTCAGAATATACTACATTCTTAGCCTCCATAGCACGGCATGTCTGCAGGCACATTCCATTAATGAACACAGTCAGAGTCTTCACCAACACTGCCTCTCCCTGCATGAAGCCAGCTTATTGCTTGACCCCAACTGACATCACTTCCCTCTTTATGGCACAAATTCTAAAGGAAGCCAAATGTTGGTACAGCAGCAAGAAGGAAGTTAAGGTACAATTTAATCTACTTAAAAGGATGCACATTTCCTTTTATTTTTTTAATCTCTGAGATAACATTGGCAAATCAAAGGAGGCCTCTATTTTTCTGCATGTTCGCCTAAACATACTAGGTAACAAACATCTGCTTTTTATTCCAGCAAAATCAATTTGGAGCCCACACGAATGTGCTTTACTTTGAAAAAGATTCTTCCCCCCCCCCCCCCCCAAAAAAAATATCAAAATCAGTGTCAAAATCAGAGGAAGACAACGTTTTATCTGGAAAAAAAGAAAGCCAACTCTCCACACCCCCTATGGGTTAACAGCAGTTCCACACCTCATTTGTGAACCCTATGAAAACTTGGGGAGGGCAAAATGTAGTTTAAAATGTAAAAAAGAAATATACATTTGTATTTTGTAGGCTTGGCCTTATTTTCTCCCACCAAACCAAAGAATACTTCGAGCACACTGAATATATTTATGTAATTATATAATTAGATAGATAGATAGATAGATAGATAGATAGATATTCACATTATTTCCTTTCCACATAAGTCAGATTATGAAAGGCACAGAAAAGGAATAAAAATAGGAAGTCAATGAAGTTGAAAGTATGAAATAATAACGAGAGAGAAAAATATGAAACAGTTTAGGATGTGATTAAGATATAGTCATCATCTTTAATTTTCAATTTTTTAATGTTCAATTTTTTACTTTTTTTTTAAGGAACTAGGAGCATGCCCACCTACATAATCCCCCCCCCCCCAAAAAAAAATCCTTCTTTGGAACTAACCACAAACTATTTAGCTCTAGTACCTTTCTACCAGCATTTGAACATTTTTTTTCTTTCCTTAGGAAGCATGAAGAAACTTTTTTTTTTTTTGCCCTTTAATCATTTGTTCTATTTTATCTGTCAAACTAACCTCTCTGGTCTGGTGCATTCATTATCAGATCAAAACAGTCAATCACATCATACAATCAATATAATATTTGCTGCAAACAATTTGGCTTTTCAGCACTAGAAACACTTGGAAATGTCTTCTCTCACGTTCACACATTTCCAAATGAGTTAATGATCTGAGGAGCAAAGGATCCAGCCCCATCTTTAACACAAAGTCACAGTCCATTTTCCAAAATTGTTCACTGTTGTGTCTCATACCCAGAATTCTCATACCCAGAATTCTGATCAGCCAGTTCCCAGGCACATTTAATAAACTATTTTTGTTTTTACTGTATCTTTCCCTTTGCACAGGGGAACAATACTCTCAATGCTAATACTTTCAAATGTCAAAAAGAAGTGCAACTTTCACACCTACCTTAACCAAATTGCACATCCACTTTATGTACCAGCCATATATCCTTATTTTAACATTTCTCCAATGAAACTATTGTCCGCCTCAATATTTTTCAACATAGTCATATAATATATATTTTTAGTGGACACAAGAATGTATTCCTATCCATGGCCCAGTTCTTTTTTTCTGCATTCTTTCATCTCATTCCCTTCCATCCATTCATATCATTTAACACATTCTGGCATCACATTCACTTCCCAAAATTCACCCCTACTTCACTCATTATCACAATTTAATGTAACATCATATGCAAATATCACAACCATGAATTCATAATTTTATATGCACCCATAACCTAGGTGATAGAAATGCATACATTCTGACATATTTTTGGCTCTTTAATTAATAATTAAACTTATACTCCCACTTCCCTGCTTATATTCATCAATGCAAAAGATCAGAACATTTTCATTCAGTTGTTACATTCTTCTCTTAATTCCACAGGCACACAAGAAATCTATTTTTTTCTCTTTTCTTTTGTTCATTTATTCATGCTGCTTGCTATTTCCATACATTCCAAGTTGTAATATGTCATGATTCCCACCAGATCTGTTCATGGATATTTTTCTATTGCACCCCTCATGGTTTTAATTAATCAGTGGTTTCCCATAATTCATTGATAGTTTACATAATTCATTGTTACTAAGATAAACTGAACACTAGATCTCCAGCCTTGGCGATACTGATAATGCGTGAAGCTTTCCCTGCTAATGGTAAGTATACCAGTACTACTTATTTTTCACTTGCCTATAACTAGACACAGTATAAGTTATATCAATTAGTTTGGGCATATTTTGGTCAGCCTGCCACAAAGATTTTGAAAACCCATTACTAGTTCTCCCAAAAATTTCATCTCTGCACTCAGGGAAGGATAGGGACTTCTATCTCTCTCACACACAAAAAGAGAAATAAAAAAGGGCAACGAAAACTAAATTAAAAAGTTAGGTGAACCAATCAGTTGTCTTTCACATAATATATATTTTTGCTCTGGTAGAAGCTTCCAATAATTCAGAAGCTGGTTTCAATTCCAGATAGATGAACCACAAGCAGATCTCTATCTCAGTGTACCACTTTCACTTCAACACCGGCCTGTCATTATTCTCACAGATTACACGAGGGGCTCATTAACTGAATTGCATGGTGGATTTCAGATTCTTTCCATATTTGTCTCTACTGAAAAGCTCAGTTCATGTATTTCAGTGAGGGAACTCTCTACCTGCTGGAATAAACCAAAGTAGGCTTGTTGAACAAACCTGAGCCTTGGGCTTGAAATGGATTTCAGGCAACTTCTCCTTAGTTATTTCTACCCCACCTCTTTTCCCTCCTGGAAAAAAATCAAACTGCCTCTTGGCAGTGTCCCATTAAGTATTGTGTGATACCAGAAGACCTTAACTTCACTACGAATGTGACTTCATACATCTTCAGATGACATTAAGCTTGGAGCCTCTCAGAAGGTTGAAACAAAAGCAATAACAATTGGAAAGAGGTTTGCTTACCAAATATACTATCAATAAAAAACAACAAACAATAGGTCATTTGGAGCATCAAGGGGCAACCAAGGTCTATCTAGAACAAGCTGCTTTTTTTTATTAAGGACAGACAGTTGTCCCACTGAGGAATACTCTAATTAGCAGTAGGTCTTTCTCGGGTTCTTCAACCCTGACATTTGATCTTTCCAGGTGAGATGGTGGGAATTGAAGGATGCCATCGTGCACCTATTCTCAGGGCTCCTGAGAGGTGGTGGCGGTGGTGGCAAGGTTCAACTAAAGACACTGGGGGATTTTAATTCAGGGGAAACCCCACTCCCAAGGACAAACATGTTTGGGCCAGTTGTTTGCTTGCCTACCATCCCACCTTTTAATAGGCAGCGTTAGGACATGCCTAAAGTAAAGAAGGCAGAACCACCAAACCCACCGGCCACCCCACGCGAGGAAAGAGCAGAGCAGCGACGGATGCCCGCAGATGCAACGTGGGGAAAGAACGGACTGCCCTCCCGCCCCCCGCCATCTGCCCCCGTCCCGCATATCAAACCCCGGAGGGAGGGGCCGTTTCCTTCTAACGGCATCGTGACTCTCGTCGGTCAATCACCAGCTCCCCCCGCCGGCTGCCGCCCCTCCATTCCCCGCCGCCCCTCGGCCGGCTTCTCACCCGCGGATTCGTTCCGCCGTTGGCTTCCCTCCTCGCGGATCACCACCGTTCTCGACACGTCGAGGATGGAGGCGGTGGCTGCTTGCATGGCTCCCGGGCCCTCGGGGCTTCCGAGCCGCGGGGGGGGGGCGACCTGGCCCTCTTCTCCGGGCAAAATCTCGCACTCTCCCCGGGGGAGGGGGAGCGGAAAGGCAGGACGGGTCTTAACCCGCTGGCCTGTCCGCTGCGGCTGAGGGGGATCGCGTCGCTCCCAGCCAGCGTCTCTCCGCGGGCTTCGTTTCCCCGCTCCTCCTTTTTTACAACTGCCGGCGCTTCGCTCGCCGTCCCCTCCGCCTCAGCCCCGGCGGCGTCTAACGAGCGGCAAGCAAAGGACGGTGCTTGAGCACCTGGAGATCCCGCCCTCCCCCGCTCGCTCCCCCCCTCTCCCCCCTTCCCCCCACCGCCACACACAAGGCACACCTCGCTTCCTCTTCGGCGCTGAGCCCGGGCGAAGGAAGCGGAGACCGTCGCGCCTTCTCTATTCAACGACCATCGGGGACTCGACGTGCCGGATCCGTCGGAGCTCTCCCGTCGGATGCGCCCCTTTAGCCGCGCCGGATCCAATCCAAAAGTGCGTCGCGGCTTCCCTCGTGAAGATCGCGCAAGAGGCGGATTCCCGAAGAGCTCGTCCAGGGGCTCCGAGGCGCCGCTACCGGAGCGGGCTGCGCGATCCATCTGGTGAAAAAGCGAAGGTGGACGAGTGGCTTTCGCCGACTGAGGGGCAGAATCCGGGGCCTTCTCCCGGTAGAAGTAGTCGCGGCAGGATCCCGCGCTCCTTAGTCCGAAGTAATCTCCCCTTCCTCAGCAAACGGGAGCATTTAGGCCACATGAATATGCATGAGTAATTTTTTCAATACACCTGGTTGTGTAAGACAAAGGCACGCTCCGCTGCGTGAGCGGCGGAATCATCACACACTCTCATACTCTCCAGAGGCAGACGGAGGGGTGGTTGGTTTTGTTTTGGTTTTGGTTTTTTTGCCTAAAATGGCACATATTTATCTTTTGCGTTGCTCCTTATTTTAATAATTCATCTCTTGCCTGATCTTTGGGAGCTCACACACAACGCTCCCTCCTTTCATATTTTCCCTAAACAGAGCTTTACGATGTAGAACAGACTGCAAAATAGATCAGTTCAAAGTTACTCTACGACAGTGGAATTGAACCTGCACAGCCTTCCGAGTTCTACCACGACTTCACACTGTTACTTTCCATTTGCGTTTATTCAGTTTCTGTTCTCTACAGAGAGAGAGAGAGAGAGAGAGCGCAAAACCTTTAAATGTGGACCTAAAATATGCCTGATTTGCAAACATTCATATCCTTCAAAATGTCGGCATGGGAGTTAGGTGGGGGGGGGGGGGGGGGGGGGGGGGGGGGGGGGGGGCAAATAGCATCAAAAGAATCACATGCAGGAATATTTTTGATGCACAGGTAGAACTCCCACTATCTTACTTTCTCAATGTAAAAAAATCTATAAGCCCTTACTGAACTATGGTTTGTATTAATACATGCCTGGGTTTGCATGATCATAGCTACTTACAAGAAGTCCTGGATGGGATGATTGACAGCTGTGCAGCTCAGAAAATGGGACAAACAGGAGCAGTAAGAATAAAGTTTTTGTAGGTAAACCATTAAATATACTACCCTAGCACTGAACAAAATACAGTACATCTACTAAAGACAGCTATATAATAATGCCAGTCCAGTAAGTATATAATAATGCTATCTCATATAGCCATAGTATCTATGGCTTTAACTATGGTTTTAACAAAACCATCATGCAAATTACATAAATGACATAATTTCTATTAGATATCATGAAACCAATGACTTACAGCAAGGGTGTCAAACTCACGTTGTCATGGCAACTTCATGTGACATACTGGAACTTTTTTTCCTCTTCGCTAAACTGGGTGTGGGTGTGGCCAGCCCGTGACGCATCCGGCTGCGGGCTGGGAGTTTGACAGCCCTGACTTACAGTAAGTAATGAATAAGATTTGCCAGTGACATAATGATAGATATGACATCATTTCTTTCCTGTGCGCATATCCCTATTATTCCCTTTGCTATGCAACTCTAAATTTGCTCCGTTATCCCAAATCCAAATAAATGATAGCCTTCAGCCTTGTCAGTTAGAACCGCTAATCAAGCTGCAATCCTATGAGCCTTTCTTTCATTCAGTAGAGCTTTTCTCTAATGCATTAAGCCGGGCTTTATTTATGCAGAAGGTAGCAGTACACAAGTGTGGGGGTTTGATTTCAGGCAGCACTGAAAATTTAAGAGGGTTAATTTGACTCTCGTAATTCATGGAGACATCCATGCAGTTTTCTGCTTATCCAGATAGAAGGGTTTTTTCCATTGCTTTTTTCAAGCATTTTTTTTTAATGTTCCCAGACTATCCTAACATTCTAGAATTCCATGGGGTTTTCCATCCAAATATCGAACAGTCTGAATCTTTCTTAGCTTAGCAGACCGTATGTCAGCCCAGTGAGTAAACTCATAACTTGCCATTATTAATCTCGGGCTTTGGATATGATAACATAATCCCCTCCAGGTAGTTTTTGCTGCCATCTCACCAGCTGATTGACATCTGCCTGAAACTAAGCTGATCTGTGCAGGGCAGGGCTATCTATTTATATTACCGTAGCTTGTTCTGCAGAAAGGGTAAGACATTTTTAAAACTAAAATACCCTGACATGCTTATTGGATCCGCGAAATAACATGGGGAAAAAATATGAGAGAAGGTATGTTTAAGCGAAACCGGAAGATATGGACTGATTTAATAATAACGCAGGATTCTTTTATTTCAGGCTGCAGCATATGTGCACATTTATTTCATCAAATTTCTATGACTTCCCATCTCAAACAAGGTGACACTAGGTGACTACAATAAGCCCAACTTTTAAAACAGAATATGAAAAAAACAGCTAAACAATTAACACAAGTAAAAACAAGATTGTGAGAGGGTTAACATATGTGGTATAATCAGTGGTGGTATTCAGTCGGTTTGCAACGGATCGGGCGAACCGGTAGCAAGAATTTGGTGTGAGTCACCAAACCGGTAGTAAGTTCTGGCTGGCCACACACCCCCACCCAGTCACCCTCCTGCCTGATGCTCACTCACCCTGCCCGCTTGCCTGACATTTGCCTAAGGTATTTCTTTCTTTTTCCCTCCCGACAATCAGCTGTAGATAAGATCAGCTGTGCCGGGATTCCCCTTCCTGAGGCCCAGGAAGGCAAAAAATGGAGGGAGGAGCTCAGCCCCCCCTCCATTTTTTGCCTTCCAGAGCCTCAGAGGAGCCTTAGGGGAGCAAAAACGCCCCCTCCAGAGGCTCCTTTGAGGCTAGGAAGTTCCCAAAATGGAGCTTGGAGGGGTGCTGCATGCCCCTCCCATGCTCTGTTCCTTTTCTTCCAGAGCCCCAGAGGAGCCTTGGGGGAGCAAAAACGCCCCCCCCCCGAGACTTCTCTGTGGCTAAGAAGCTCCCAAAAACAAGTGGGGGCTGCAAAAAAAGCTACGCCCATTCAGTCACATGGCCATGCCCATCAAGCCACGCCCACAGAACTGGTAGTAAAAGTTTTTTAATATCACCACTGTGTATAATCAATAGGTGGGTTTTCTCCTGCCAAATTATCCTCAGGCCTAAAAAGTGGGGGGGAAAACCATATTTTGAAGGCTTTTGAAAAGGCCAAAATGTTGGAACCAATTTCATTTCAGACAGTGGTGGGGTTCACAAAATTTTACTACCGGTTCTGTGTGCGTGGCTTTGTGGGCATGGTGTGGCTTGGTGGGAGTGGCTCTGTGGGCATGGCAGGGGAAGGATACTGTAAAATCTCCATTCCTACCTCACTCCAGGGGAAGGATACTGCAAAATCCCCATTCCCTCCCCACCCCACTAACTTGCTTTTCAGTTCCGTTCACCTGTGTAGGGCAACATAAGAAGACCCAGCCGATCAGCTGGGACTCTGGAGGAAGAGAATAGATGGGATGAGAGCCAGTCAGAGGTGGTATTTGCCGGTTCTCCGAACTACTCAAAATTTCCGCTACCGGTTCTCCAGAACTGGTCAGAACCTGCTGAATACCACCTCTGATTTCAGAGGGAAGTTGTTCCAGAAGGTGGGTGCCATAGCACATCTTCTAGGTCCCATCAAATGGAAATCCTTAATAAATGAGACTCACAACATGCTTCTCCTGGCCCTGGTGTGATGGATAGAAATAATTAGGGAGAAAAGATCCATCAGATAATCCAGCCCTGTGCCATGTAGGGATTTAAAGGTCAAAAATAACACCTTGAATTGGACCTGGAAGCAAATTATGTGGGTCACAGAGCAGAGGTATAACTCTATAACTGCATTTGCATCAAATCGAAGCTTCTGATTACTACAATAGAGCACATTATCGTAGTCCATTCAAAAGATGACCAGGATATGAGTAATTGTGAGCAGAGCCTCATGATCCAAGAACAGGCACAACTGGTAAACAATATGAAGTTGTGCCAAGCCCCCACCCAATCAAGTCACACCCCCACTAGCAGTTAGCTGCAAGCTCACATTACTCTGAGAAGCACAAAGCCGAAGACACAAGCCTGAAGATGATGAATGAGACTTCATCGAAACGTCGCCTAGACACTTCCAATTTTACGCGGGAGAAAACCTGAATAACCAAAGATCCACACACACACACATATATATATATATGCACATACATACATACATACATAAGAAAAACTACTCCCAGGCATTGAATTGCCACAAAAGCACTGCAGCATCTAAAAGCATTCCAAAGACAAAAATGTGAAGATGTACTTCTTTCTTCCAAAGAATATACTTTGAAAGACTATGATTTTTTTCATATTCATTGCTTGTCATGAATGAAATATAAGATTTATTCCAGCAGTGGGATCCCTGAGTAAAGGAGGACCACCTAAAGGTTGGAATAAATTATGAATGAATGAATGAATGAATGAATGAATGAAAAAGAAAAGGAAAAAGAAAAAGAAAAATCAACAATATTCTGTGATTGATCTTTTCTCTGCAGGGTCCAGAGCTCTCTATCTCATTTGCTGAAGATTCCAAAATCTTCCAATGGAGATCTTTGGACAGGTAGAAAAGTGTAGGGGGAAGTCAACGAAGATCATTTCCCCCACCCTTCTCCAATATTGTTTTCCAATATTGTTCTCTTCCTCCCTCAATCAAAAGCCTCTCATCTATGGAAGAGTTGAATTGGATTCAACACATAATACTATAAAAGTATATTCAAAGTTGATTTGTCTTTCTTTCTTGCAATAGTAAGAAATAAATTATTCTTTTTGTAATTATATTTTATCCTGGCATACAGAAAGAGCAGAGTTTTTCAAAAGTACCCAGAAGAGCAACAAGAACAGTTGCCTAATTTTTCTCAAATGGCTCTTTATGTAGAAAAAACAAACAAACAGGAACATAATTCCCCCCAAGATGAATTCAGCCATGATCCTATTAGCTTTCCACAAATCCCTTAATATGGTTTATTCAGCAGCCTTGCTGATCCCAGGAAACTGAGTGCCTGCAGGATTGTATTGTGTTTAGCATGTTGGTCCATTCTCCCACAATTTTACTTATGTTTATGCTTAATTGTTTTTATACCCGTTTATACCTGTTTTCAACCTGCTTATTTCACTGTACACTACACAGCACCACATTTGTGAGATAGGTTGCTATGTACATTTGCTAAATAAATAAACATCATAGTATTTCAGAATTGGGTAGGGAAAAGGTCTGAATACCATCAGTCTCTTGGCCATGTTTGCTACTGCATTAGTGATA